GAAAGATAATATGAGGATGCACACTTAAAAACAATACACCATCGCATTGTTGAATGGGTACATAAATATTATAGACATAATGCATAAATAAAATACGTACTTACTCTGTTTGGCAATCTAAAATCGAGTGGCCCGGGAAGATTACGTTAATTGTTATTGCAATGCTTATGAGCACTTAACACTAATGTTTTGAAAACTTAAAATTCTTATGTCCGTATATTATATGCCCTTTGGTACCTAAAAAGTACTCAACTAAAATGTTATGAACGTGGTCGCTTTACATACAATAGTTATGTAGTACAACACAGTATCGTGTAAAATTCATGGATTTTTTATTTTTATTTTTTTTTTTGTTTTTTATCTTACTGACGCAGTTAATAATAATCGGGATTATAAATTCTATAATACGACTTATTATATTCTATCGGTTAATGCCTCACTAACTCAATGATTTTTATGTCTGTGCAATAATTAACAGTTGTAGTACAATAATTAACGGTCATTTTATATTAAATAAATGGCGGTTTTGATATTTTATATTCACTTTGTCGCGCAAAACGGCCCACACCTATGTAATAAAATTATAATATAAAAGTTTGGTAGGAACTAATTAGGATTCAAATAATATAATACGTTGTATATGTTTGTAATCACTTATTTTAAAATTATTATATTTAGAATAACAATAACAAAAACATATTGTAATGATTACAGAATTAAATAATTACTAAACCACTATTAAATGCATTAACAGTAAAATATACCAAGCTATGTATTAATATGATATATTCCAATAATTTAGGATCGCTAATATTTTTAATTTCCGAACATATAACTTATGAAAATAATATGCAATATTAATAACTTAAAATAAAATTATTTCTGTATTTAAAACATTGCAAAATAACGACAGTTCGTACAGTTTAATAGATGAATAATTATTAATCTAATATTTTAAATCTAAACTTTAAAAACAAATTTGATACATTTGCACAATATGTTATCTTAGTATTTCATGTACTATGATACAAAATACTTTAAATTCTATTAAAATTCACTAATTCTTAAATACTTATGTCTTAAGATACAATATATTTCCGATTTTCAACTTTTATTTCTCTCACGTACCATGCACATAACATTAAAATATAAACGATTAAAGTTAGATTTGTATGCATATTTGAAATCGATTGAATAATTTTGAATTTCTTTAACTGCGTTTATATTTTTTATATTAACGAAATGTCGTCGAGATGGTTATAACGTGATTCGCAGGTAACTATTATTATATAATATATTTATATAAAAAAAAATGTTTATAAGAAATTGGAGCTTATAAAATAGGTATTTTGGCTTATATTCATCATGGCTTAAGTCCGAATAATCCGATCAGAATCTGAACGCATCGTTGTTCCGTACAACCCATTAAAATACATAAGTGATGTTTAAAAATTTAAACACTCGCGCATGCGTTATACCTAATGTGTTGTTTCATCTTTTGCTATTATATTTTGTTCCATGTTTGATATAAGTTTTTGAAACTATAGTTTCTTTTGTTTTACGCTGCAATTGGCTTGGAGCACGGTTTTTATTTTCTACCCATAATGTTTTTGAAAGTCTGTCGTTGACAGTAACCCCATCGTGACTGTGAAATCTACTCGGAATGACTCCTTGGGTATTAATTAAATAATTTGAACAACTTATTCAACTAGAAAATATATCTTTTATCGTGAGATTTCTGGGGAATTTTAACTTCAGAAAAATGTGTGTCTCATTCCTAACTGTTTATGTCTGTTTTCTATGGTTATCGAAATTAGGACATCGCATTATTGTTACTATTTGTGAAAACTACACGTATGCGATTGTGCGTTTTTATATTATTATGTGCGACTGTAGTATGACTTTTTTTCCGACAAAAGAAATTATTGCAAAAAAATTACAATAAATAACCAAATAAATATTACATTGAAAAGTTGTGCGAACATTTTCAATCAAATAAAAAAAAAATTACCATTTTTATTGTTGCAGGTGATTATATAATTGTAGAGTAAATCACGTTACACCAACCTAAACGTAAAATTACATGTACAATACACATGCATGGTACATACAGGGTGGTAATCATTATTTATATTAAGAAAATCGTAAACGCTTAAGTCAATACACAAGTGTACGTGTAGTACCAATAATTGTAAATTAATTATAATTTCGTTTTATATTTGATCAGTCGTTGATCGCTAAAATTAATTTAACGCGTATATGTATATGTATGCGACGATGTTAAAACAGATTTGAAATATTTCGAAGTACAACACTGAAAAACAAAAACAATATAACAACAACTCAGATATTTAAAATGTTCTAATATTTATTTTTTTATTTGAAAGAATGTAATAAGAATTACAAGCAAATTCATTTTGAATAGATATGAGTTATTATTGTTATCAATGAACGGTGTATTTCATTTTTGCGAGGTCATAGTCAGAAAATTATTTTGTCAAGAAAGATTTAGAGTATAAATATGGTTTTTTACTAAAAGTTTTTAAATTTCAAATGTAATGGACATTTAAAAGTTTTCAATTATATTTTATGAAAACATTTCGTAGAGGTCTAAACCCCAAAACCCCTCTTAGCTACGGTTTTGTTATGTTGGGAGTACGATTCGTTTTAGAAATGGGTTATAGTATGAATTTAATATCGCTATTATTGTATTTTACTATAAAAATTATTAGTTTGATTAATAAAAAAAACACTTAACAATTATGTTTTTTAATTTCTCACGGAAGGTTAGGAATTCCTCACGATTTTTATTTTATAATTTTTCTAACTATTGTATTTTTTTATAGTTTTAAAAAATTCTCTATAACATTTTATCTATACGTATTTAAAACGTGGTTAAAAATAAAGTGTTCTTAAAAAATGTATTATCAGAATAGGATTGTACAAGGATGGTTTTGTAAGTAAAATAATATGACAAGAATACACGAGTATTGCGGAAAATATTGTTGTAATATAAAGTTATTACTATAAAATTATTTGAATATAAAAATTGCTACTTCAAATTTATCATACGTTATCCACAACGAGTTATACTATATTGAGATTGCGATAAATAATCACGCGCCGAGAAAATACGTTTTATATTCCTTTGATAATTAAACTATATCCTTCATCCTTTTGATTTCAATCCATTTTAACATCGTCAATAATAATAATAATAATAATAATAATAATAATAATAATAATAATATTAATAATGATAATACTAATAATAATAATAGTAGTAGTAATAATAATAGATTAATGTTTTAATAAACGCACCGGTGTTGAATTAATTTCGTCCAGACATTTTCTAACCAGAGGCGCACATTCGATGAAATATCATGCAATTTCGATATTAATACATACCTCTAGTTTATCGCTCGAATAAATAACAAAATATTATGATATATTTTTATTTTACTACTACATATTCGATTTTTTTTTTTTAACAATAATAAATATTTTAAGTAACAGTACTTGAAAATATACAGTTAAAAATTAGTTATCGTAATAATATGTATTATATTGTATACAACATTAAATAAAAAATATCCGAAAAAAAATGTATCATTATACTACATTGCAGTGAGTATCATATTTTTTTTTCTTAAAAAATTAAATATTTACATAAAAATTAAAAATAGTATACTATAGTATACATTATACTTATATGGAGTTGGAGTTGGATAATTTTCAAATTCCATTTTGACAGCGAGTGTAAATTAAAATCGAATAACATTTTTCAAGTATGATAAGAATCCATGGGATAACATTTTGTTTATACTTTGTATTATAAAAGCAATTATTAGTGAAATAACTAATATTGGAAGAAGATAAGTAGGTTGATAAGTTGCTTGATACATCCTTTTACTAGTTCTATAAGAGCCTTTAAGCAACTAATACTGATTTTTTTTTCAAACACGCGTCGATCAAAGGTTACGTTGAAAGTAACCATACAAGTACACGCTTAACTGTATTTAGCCATGGCTCTACGTGAATAATATTAAAGGAACATCTTATTCATGGCTTCGGTAATGGATTAATGTACGAAATATGTTATGCAGAACAACACAGATTTATGATTTTCCGAACAATAAGAGGCTCGTCAAATATAAACGGTATGATAAACTACTTCTAACTAACATAATTCAATTGATTTACGCAATATTATTAGACCACTGAAGTCTTAATCGCAACGATGGATCGGATCCCTTTCTACACACACCACCACGTGACACAACCCTTGGAGAAAACTTAAAGGAACACTGAGGCTCATTTGAACTTTGAACTTTTGGGTGGTATTTCGAAATATGTTATTCTCGCATCTCGTATCTTACTAATGATCATCGTGGTTGAAACTTATATTAATATTATTCTAAAATATGTATAAATATGTAATCGTTTTCTAATAATTTAACATAATCGATATCGATTGACTAGGAAGTTGATGTAATCAACGAATTCTACAACACGTTCTATTGCAACGGACTAACGAGTCAAATGCTTCGAACCTCAAGCACGAACGAGCATAAATTTCTCCCTAGATTTTTTCTCGGAAAGCAATTCGCTAGGAAAAATCGGTAAACTACGGTAAACTACTATTATAACATGACGTTGTGCACTGCGTACGCTAATAATATTTTGTACATAAACGTGTGCGGGCGGACTGCAACGGTGGGACGTCCGTCAAGGGGTTGGTTCACGTACACCGGGTGGAGCTGCGGAATGCGATCGTGAAACGTGTATCGATCGGAGACCAGCACGCGATAAAAATGTTATGGTACATGGCACGCAGCCCATCCGGTGTGCGCGATCTAAGATCACGGGCGGTGGCGGTAAAGAACGTGACGATCACGGCCGGTACAAGGTATTGTGGCCGGCGTCTACGCACGGGGTAAGTTATACGATAAGGAAACGCGGGAATGCGCATGCGTAGTCGGTCGATCGCGATAAGTCGTCTACCTGTTCACGTCGCCACGGCCGCCGCCGTCGCGGTCCGCGAAGCGTCTGACAGCAGCGGTGGCCATGTGCAACAGCCGTTTCAGGAGCGGCCCTTCGGTCCGGTTGTTGACGGCACCGTTGCCACCACCGTCACCACCACCATCGCCGCCACCGTCGCCGATGCCACCACTGCCACCGCCACCGCTGCCACCGCTCCTGCCACCACCACCGCTGCTACTGCCACCACCCCTGCCACTTCGGACTCTGTTCCGGTTGCGACCGCTTTTGACGGCAACCGGTCTGGTCCGGTTGTAAGCGGACGTCGCGCGAACCACCGTGGCCGCGGTCGTGGTCGTGGTCCGTAGGTTCGCAGTCGTATTCGCCGTCTTATGGCGGTGTGTAGTCGGCATTGTAACAACCCTTACACCGCCGCCGCCACCATGGTGGTTGTACGCCACCGTCGCGGCCGTCTGGTTCTCGTAATCGATTTGCCCCGGATTGTCGCGGGGCGACCACCCTTATGATTTGCCGTAACGGTTGACCACGCAGTACACCATCAGGCTGAACAGGAACACGCCGGCCACGGCCACGAACTTGGAACACGCCTCGAAGTCGTCCTGGCTGGTGTCGTTGATGGCCGCACGCATCTGTTCCTGCCGGCGTCGGTTGGCCAGCTTGCGCGCGAGCTCCGGGAACGCCAGGCTCTGCGTGAACGTCAGTCGGTGCAGCGAATCCGACAGGCTGTGCATGCCCACGCTGCCCCGTGCGCCCAAGCGTAAGCCTATGAACTCCGGGTCCGTCACGTCCGAGCACCGGCCCGTCCATGTCGAGCTCCTGCGCCGGCCCCACACAGCTCCGTGCCGGTTACCCGATGATCCCGTCGCGCCGGCTACGCTCAACAGCGAAGACGCGTTCGACGAGGATGCCCTGGATAGGTTACCACTGCATATGTCCACGCCCAAACAGTCGTTGTCCTGTTGGCCACATACCCCAATATAATCGTTATTATTGTTGTCGTTGTCGTTGTTATGTCACGTATTTGTAATTTAGGGAGTAGATATTTACGAACGTTCTCTCACAACATTCACTAGAATTTACGTTTTCGACTTGCACCATACCCCCTCCCCCTCCCGGTGAATGGTGAACTTCATTTAGGCTATAGCAGGGGTGGCCACAACGAGACTCGCGAGCCGCATGCGGCTCTTGAACCAAATTTAGAGTAAATTTAATAAATATAAAATTTTATTAGAATCGTTAAAAACATTAGATAGTGTTTTTACTGCCGTCAATTTCATTATCATTACAGTCGTTATTAGGTATAGATTGGCACAGCAGCGGTGCTTTTAGTATGTGTAGCCAAAATATGTCTTAATTTTATATACATCGCTTTACAATGTGGCTCGCCTCGAATTAGCTTAATAAATTTGCCGTTCCTAAAGTTAAGGTTAGTGGCCACCCTTGGGCTATAGTATGGTGTCGAGCATAATTTATATTACATTTACGTTAAAAACGGAAGAAAAATAAAAACTGAAGCAACAGATGTTATGCTGAGCTTCGCGCCATAACTTATCTGCTCTATCCGTTTATCTATGAAAAAACGCGAGGTAAACGTATAGCTTAGGTATATAACATATGGTCTCGCAGATAGCTTTATCAAAACAATATTTTTTATTATGGATGGAATTCGCTCTGTGCTGTGTTACATCAAGTCCAGAGGGAGTTGTTATCTTCTGATTCTATGTGGGCATCAGAAATAAATGTATTTGCGTGTTAATAATATAGGGAATGTAGGTTTCCGTTTTTGACCGCCTTTGTTCGAAACTCTCTCGAAATAATACCATACCCATCCATTGATGCGATGAGAGTTTTGAATATTGATTTTAATTTTTCAACTGTGGAAATAATTTAAACTTCACCATTTTCAGTGTTATTCTTCCATGTTAATAAAATGTTATTGTGTTTTCGCGTTTTAATTTTATTAAAAATATTCATCGGGAAAAATTAAATAATCGACCTGTTTAATTGTAACGGAACTCATAAGCGAATAAAATAAAAATATGGGAGTGTTCGAGCTCAGATGAATTGGTGAGGAGCGGGTATAAAATCGAAATATGGTCCGTGTATCATACGTTTGAGGTAGAGTAACGGACGGAAACAGCAAATCATGATATTTATGATTGTAGAGGGGCTAAGTGTAATAATTATTGAATATAATGTTTCCCTTTTATACAAGTATACGTTAATACTATGTTAATGTATAGTGCTATCGCGTATTGAGTAGAGATTGCATTTTATATGTTTTAACGTATACATGTAGTAAGATTAACGTGTAAGTATAGTATGATAATTATTAGTACATATGATAATAATAATTATAGTAGTTAATACTAATAAGCAATTGGCAATAAACTATACAAGGAATAATAAATTACGAAGTGTCACTTATAATGAACAAATACACATATTACGTGTTGTCTACAGTTATTAGTTTTCACTTTTTATGGTTGTGTTCTCGTCGTTGAATACACGTACAAATAGGAACGGACACTTTGCCGGGAAAGCAAAATCATAAACGTGCCCAAGAAAAGTTTCAGGGAAATATTCCCCATGTTAGAAAAGTGTAGAAAATGTTTGTTTTAATAAAATCATCTTTCTTATTAACTATATATATAACATTTTGAAATAGTAAACAAGTCCGGATTAAGGATCAATTGGGCCCTGGGACCCCGGGACACCGTACACTTAATGTGCTCCCTTTCAACTTTATAATATAAACTTAAATTTATATTAAGGATTGTATATTATTGTATAAATTTATACTATACAAACAAGTATCTATCAATCAAGAAATCTATCAATTGCGAATATTATTTTCTGAATATAATATCATTAACAATGTTAAATTGTCTTGAGTCTAACTTGTTTTATATTTATTTTTTATTCTTGTTTACTCTGAAAATGCTCTTTCGGCTGAACAATTAGCGACTGAGATAGTTAAATATAATCTAAGAGCAATTCAAATGTTTGGGAATACATTCTGCAATTATTTTTCATAGAACCATTTTAATAAACTAAAAGCAACACTTGCATCAAATGATACTTTACTTAAATTTAAAAATGTTTTAAATTGAATAATTTCATTTTCAAGTGAAGAGTCAACATCATTTTTATATGTAGAAATACGATTCTTAATACTCTCTTGGACTTCATTCTTCTACTGTCATCTGGTGGACAATTTTATTTAGCAACAAATAAAAAATGTATAGAAATATAAGCAGCAATTATATTTTTTAGTTCTATAACAAATTTATGAATAATAATATAATGAGTTTTAATTTAAATTTTGTCTTTTTCTTTTTACATAAATTGTGTCTTTTTTACAATCACTATTATCATTAGGATACTTTTTTTTCTTATTCTTTCAGCTTCATTCTTTTACGTCTATGAAACTTTTTGACTTAGATTTGCAATTTTATTTTAATAAACCTTACTTGAGTCTCTTAAACTTAAGACAAAATACCTTAGTGATTATAGCAAGTTGACGGCTTTTAATATGTCACAGTGTTTGTTTTGCAATTCAATTGAAATGTTATTACTTTTCTTTATCACTCCATAATAATATAAGATAGGCAATCTCTTTTTTACCATTTTTCCTGCAATATTGTAACTTATCTTTTTGTTTCATCATTTTCATTAACATTTTCACATAGTTTTTGTAGAGCTTAAAGTATTTTTTCAATATATAGATTAATAATTTTTAAAAATTAACCTACTCTACTATGTAGTTCTTTTTTTTTTTTTTTTTTTTTTTTGATTGTTTTGAACATAATAAAATAATATAATTTAGGGATAAGGATGGGCTCTCAAAATAAAATAGGCCCCAGGATTGTGCCCCCTTTGCCTCCCCCTTGATCCGGGCTTGATAGTAAAAACTCAAACTTTATATTAATATAAAGTTCAAAAATATTTTATTTTTATGTTATTTGTAACTATACAAATCAAATAATTAGAAAAAAATTAATAATAATAATAATATTATTTAAATTCTGGATAATTTCTCAAATTTAAATTAAAATATTTTACAATAAATATTTTAACACTGTATTTTTAAACTCTTTTTAAGTACAAATTTAGTGATGATTAGTAATTATATACGAGTATTAATAATACACCAAGATACTGCATTCAATCTATAAAAATGAAAAAATTTTATGTATCGCATACAAAAATAATAATCGTAATATTGGGGAGAGTTGGAAAAGTAGTCTATAAGAAAAATTCCAATGAGACATCTCTATGTTCAAATACTGTACAATCCAAGTTAAATTAACGTGAAAAGCGACAAAAACACATTGTGCAGTGCATTAGATTTTTTTTTTTTTGTTGGTGTACACTGTCAATTGATAGTTGAGAACGAATGATCATTAGGGGAAAACACTGAGGACCGGAATTGGGTTGAGACGCCTACCAAAACATACTTTGTTATTACATTTCTCGTCATTACTATACTTACAATGCACGTATTTACCAAAAAAAAAAACATAATTTTTATTTATGTAATATTATACGATATGCTGTATAGAACTTTTTCTTTTCCACGACAAACTCATCTATCAAAAAAAAAAAAATTCACAGCACTAGTGATTGCAACACGACTTATACATTAAACATTAAATAATGATCGGTATGGAGCAATTGTCGAACGTAAGAGCAGGGGCGGTGCTAACTTTTGCGAGGCCCTGGGCAAAATATATCGAGGCCTTTTTATAAGAATGGCGTCTAGGTATTCCTATAATAATATCTTCGAAATCGATCTGCGAGGCCCTCATAAAAGCGCGAGGCCCCGGGCAAGGGCCCTGCTCACCCCCCATTGCGCCGGCCCTGCGTAAGAGTATTATATTATAAGTAATAATTGTCTGTGCCTTTGTGACAATGCGATCGATAATACATTTTCTGTAAGACGCCCGAACATTGGACGGTATTTTTAAACTTAAAATCGTTCAAATAAACCGTTGCATATTGAAATCCACGAACTGGTGGTGAACAAAATTGTTTATGTAATAACTTTAAAATTATTTAAAGTATCGGTACGATTTGTGTAATAACAGTCAGAATAATGTATTTTGTATTCAAATTCATTGTCACTATAACCGAACTTTCAAAAATGATCATGAATATAAAATAAAGAAATACTTATTATTATACTGTTAATATCTACACATAGTGGATTATTTTTTTAGTTTTTTTGAAAAAAATGTTCTTAGGTAGATTAATTCTTACAAATTTTTAACGTAAAATACTAAAAACTTAATTTAATTTGTTTATTAGCAAGTTTACTACAGAGTTGTTGCGAAATAGATTACTTAAAGAAATTTAAATAAAATATGACGTCACGATTAAGTGACACTCGCATTCAAAGGCTTAAATAGCTTTCTGAGCAATGAGAAAATAAACATTTAAAACAGAATTTGTTGTAAAATATTCATAAAAAAATAAAAGATTAAATATGAATGATGCAGTAAACCGTAGGAAATAAGTGCTAGAAAAATATAAAAGTGAAGTTAAATTCTTCGTTTAGTAAAATATAAAAATACTGTCAAGCGCAATCTATATGGTTTCCGGCGTACGTAATATGCCTCGTATTCTAATATTTTTATTTATTTATCGGTGTACATAAAATATTTCAATATATGTTTTCGGTGAACGAATAAATATAATTTTCAACCGTGTTAAATATGTATATTTTACAGCAACCCTGGGAAAATCTAGGGATATACGTTTGGTAATCAATAAGATATAATGCATTGCTGGTAGAAGAAATAATCATTTCGAATTCTATCGAAATTCATTATTTAATAGTTGCTTCGAACATAAAACCTACGACTATGTTATATTAAAAATATATTTGAGTATGTTCAGTAGTATCATTACGGCGTGTTTTACTTTTGTTTTATAGCACAGACGATAGGTACGT